CGCTAGAACCAAGTGGAACCAGGACCTGGACAGTGTGAGTCCTGAGCTGAGTCTCATAAAATATCTTTGTGATGTTTTCCAGAGAAAGGTAGAGCACCACAGCCCCTCCAGCAAAGAGCAGCTGAATGTCAAGAATGTGGGAACGCTTCTGCAGAAATTTGGCATCTGTGTTTATTAAACTTGTTCGATTACGTAGTCAAACACGAGAACCACCCAAAGCATAAAATCACAAGCGTTTCTAAAGACGAACAAAGTGAAACTTGAACCTGGACAGTATGCGTCTTGACTTGAATCTAATAAAACATGTTTGTGGTATTTTCCAGAGAAAGCTAGAGCAACACAACCCCTCCGGCAAAGAGCAGCTGAATCAAACAGAATGTGGGAACTTCTGTATGTCCACCTTTATTTTTGATGACGGATGACACCACAAGTATTGAAAGGATTAGAATCACACTTGTGCTGCTGTGGGTTCTGTGTTTTTAATCTAGTAAATAACAACCCGGGATGAACTCCCTTGCGTTGTATAATGTATAGAAAAGCCTCCGTCTCGCCGCTGTCTGGTGCTTGTGTCGGCGGACCTTGCAGCTTGCAGTAAACAGTTATTTGAACTTAATGAGGCTGAATATAAATTTCAAGTGATCGCCTTTAAAAAAGAAAACAACAACAGGGTGTTTTCAGCCGAGCGATGGTAAAAGCAGAAAACAATGTCCTTCACAAATAGGCTGTAAGTGCTCACATCAAGACTAGTATTAGGGCTTAATGAGGTTGACCCACTTTCCTCCTGAAAAAATGTGATGTTAGATAACAGCGTCCCTGTTGTTTTGTAGCGGAGGTTGAGTCGAACGGGGCTGTCTGATGTGACCACAGCCTCCAGCCAGTCTCAGTCACTCTAATAGCATTACTCCCGCAGTAAATTTTCAGCACCTGGACAAGATCGACTTAAACCCCAACGTGTCCTGTTTATCCATCTATCTATAACCGCCGTAAATGAGCAAAACAAGTTTTATGTTTGGCCACACTGAGGCTCGTTCTTTTTCTTGCACAGTTCATCTCGTCCACGATGGACTTCCAGTGTATTTAAAAGGTGATCCGCTTTCTCGCTTTCCCAGAATGTGTCTCAGGCCTTGTCCACACGTAGCAGGGTTTACGTAAAACCGAACCTCCTCCCCCCTACACACCGCCGAGTTTTGAGAAAAAGAATTCATCCACACCTAACCGCATAGGTGTGTTGTTGAGCACATTCATAAGCATGCCAAACCTTTAGGGGGCAGTAGTTCCCCACATCCTAGCCAATCAGAGTAAGCTTTCGTCTCTCGTAAAATAACCGTCCTTAATGTCGTCCTTCGCCTGAGTTCTTGTACATGGAGCGGTATCTGGGACAAAAGACAACACCAACACAGTTCATCCACGCTGTTTCCAAATGTAAACACAGGTCGCATATGTGACGTAAGAACAGGTTTTGGTCAGAACAAGTTCTAGACAATGGAAGGACCATTTTTCCTCCAGTCTACCAGAACCACAGGCTTCCGTTATGACAAAAAAATGATAATAAAAGAATTTATGCATCAAAAATGCTTGAAAAGGTCACATAAAGTAATAAGAACAAAATCAAATGTTCGTATATGAAATCTTTTTTCATATTTGGCTGATTTCTATATATATAATGATCCATTTTACCCCCAAAACAAGCACATTTTTACGTAAACGTGGCAATTTTAGAGATATATGAACAAAAAAAACGTGAAGTTTGCTGTATTATCTGCAGATTAAGCAGCCAACAGCTGATGCCGCTACATCAGCCTCTTTTTTTATTGTCAAAACCAAATATGTTCAAGCTTCAGGAACACATGAAGATGTGCTGCAGTAAGAAAAGTTGGTTTCATCGCTAGTGAGTAAAGCCAACAGGTTCTAAGGGAGCACTTCTATATGCTGCATAACTGGGAGCTTCAGAAGGCAGGTCGTAAAAAACACTGGACTTAACACCAAACAGCAAGTATTCACCTGAAATAATATCCAAAATCAGGGTTTTATTAAATTTAGCTTTAAATGTAGTAAAAATACTACGGCGACCATGTGGGAGCTGCAGCTTCTGTGCTGTTTTACCGGCTGATGTAAAAATATGCGGTGATAAAAAAACACCGGCCCCACTCTGACCTTCACAGGACTTTGTGTTGAGTCACTGGTCCCACATCAAACCCACAACATCAGAGTGTTGTAACAAGTGCAGAAGCTCTTCCTGCTCAGCTCCCACCAGCTAAGCCCTGGCAGAGCCAACAAACGGCGCTGATCACGCAGGGATTACTGGTCCTCGCCGCTCTGTTGCCTCAGCACATGAAGGCATTGTGACGGGCAGCTTCCTTGTTTTCAGAGCTCAGAAAACAGGCCGCTGCTGAGTTGTCTTTTTCCGTCACTACTTCAACACAAATGAACACTTGAATATGTTCATATTTCGACCGTGACTGTAGAGAGGTCACATCCTCTGTTGTTTTGCTTTTCAGTTGCTTTATTGGCACAAGGCTGTGATATTTTTTCCCGTCACCTGCCCGGCCGCCTCTCGCCCTGAGCTGAGTCCAGCCCTCTCCAGGAGTTTGGTTCTAGAACCCAGAACCCATGCTGTGCGTGGAGGTGAGCTGACTATATGTAGCCGGTACCGCTCCACCTCCTGCACCAGCTCAGGCTCCTTCCCCACCAGTGAGGTGACGTTCCACATCCCCAAAACCAGTCTACGCCACCAGGGGGCCACCAGATGCCCACCAGATGCCCGCCTCTGCCTACTGCCCAGTTGGCATAGCACCCGACCTCCATCTTCTGCCCTGTGGGCGGGCTCCCCCACAGGCCTGGCTCCAGGGGGAGGCCTTGGTTCCCCTGTTCTGGGCGAGGTGGCGGCTTTCTTCTTGTTGATCGTCATCAGGGTTTTTTTTCTTTTTGCAGAAATGATGCTGGTCCTGTATTGGATTCCACTTCTATATATTTACTCCAGTAGATTAAAACACAGATGCAACCAAAGTTTGTAACAGCTGATTGCAAATTATGAAGGTTATGTTGTGGAAAAAAGAACTTTTACACTTTTTTTAATGGACTTTTTCCATCATTTCTGAGCCTCAGAACTTCATCAGTACAGCAGATAGACACATGACATTTAGGAGGAAGAACACATCTGAGTTCTGCTAGAAACTGACACCAGATCAGTTCTACATCCATCCAGGTGTCACAGGTTCTGGTTTCTGTTCATGTCCTCTGTAAGCAGCTGATAGCATCAGTATTATGGGATGTCTCATAGTGTGAACAGTCAGACTGCAGCAGTTTAATGTCTATGACACAGAGTCATAGAAACAATCATTGGTACCCTGGATGTGTTTCTGGTTTCTAATCAGTCACCAGAGAAAACTTTAAAAAGTGCATTCTGGGTAAACTTTCCAGGCTCATATCAGCATGTGTGATGGTGGTTGGTCAGAACAAGTTCTAGACAGTGGAAGGACCGTTTTACCTCCAGAACATACCAGGACCATCTGTAGACAGGATTCACTCTGAGAGAAACTATTTCTAAAACCAGATTTTGCCATTTGGATGTTAATTTCATTTAGTTGCAGTTTTTAACAGAACCTAAATGTGTTTTTCATCCTGAAAATGTCATGTTTGTATCTCCTGTGCTTATGAAGTTATGAGGCTCAGAAATGATGGAAAAAGCAGCTAATGCAGTCCTTGGGTCAGATCCGGTTGATTTTACAAGCGATGACCCACATTCAGGCTGACTCAAGCTCGCACTGCTTTATTTTTCATCTTCTTTCGTCTATCGGTGCCAGCTCAACCAATCCACAGCTGTCATCAGACCATCCCATAATATAAGTGCCCGCAAACTGTAGGCCATCATCGTTGACAGCACGCCTTAAGTGGCTCTCATCGCCATGCCAACCGGCAAAATATAGGAAGCTGAAACAATGAACAGATGAGGGCCTGAATATCCTGGTTACTGTTGTTGTCTTCTACCAACAGCTACTGTGTTCGCTCGCAGCTGCTTTGTCTGGTCGAGCTTCTGGCCGTTTACCGACACTCTGGTGAAGTCTTTTTTGGTTTTAGGTCAGTGGTAACACTACAGAAGGAAAGGTCAGATGCACCACTGCAGCCTTTAATTGCGTTAAGCATTTCTAGAGTCTGTCAGTCGGCTCTTGTTTCCTCCGACGGCGTTTTCCTGGAAGGACTCTTAAAGCGATTAAAGCTGCTGAATGGTGTCCTGGTGATCACAGGAATAGATAGGACAGGCAAAGTTGATTCAGAAGTAGCTTTTTCTTTGTCATTTATTAAATTTAGCTGAAAATAAATCAGAGTTTATCCTCCATGTACAGGAGGTGAACAGAGGTTGCTTGTTCATGTCCGTTCAGGCAGAATTCAGAAAGTATGATGTAGCACTGTCTCAAATGTTGTCCCATCTTAATGTATTTGTTCATCAAGACCAAAAGCTAAGCTATGTTAAACAAATGCTGGTCTTCCTGGTTTAATATCTCCAGAAATAAAACTCCCACAGCCATTTGGGAAGGACACCGACAGAATAGATTCCAGCAGATCATAATGGTTGAATTGATCCAGTTGAGGCCTGCTTTTTGTTTTTACTATTGGCCTTTGAAAATGGGAAAAAAGTGCAAAATATTCAAACCAGGGTGGTAAAGTGGCCACGAAAAGTTCCTGTAAGTGTTTATATATGGATGTATGAAGAGATTCGTTGGCTGTTGTGGTTGTTTGAGTTATAAATCTGGAGATAAGAAGGTAAGAGGGTGAAAATAGAAGAATTCTTAGTTCTGTAAAAATATGAAGTTCTTAAAATTCAGCCAAAATATTTTACAGAACTGAGTTTTAATAACAAATGACTTCATTCACACACCGTTAAAGTCTGTAATGACACAGACTGACTTTTATTTTTGTGTTTTTTCACATTCTGGATCATCTCAAATGTTGTTTTTTTACATTTAACTCACATCCTCTGCGTTTGTGTGCTCCTCTTTCAGGTCTGACGCGCATCGTGCAGCTCGACCTCGACCTCAAATACAGAACCAACATCAGGGACCTTTTCCAGGAATTTAACCGGTTTCCTCCCGGAGCAGTAATCGGCATCAGCAGAGAGATGCAGCCAGTCTACAGGTAGGCAGCGCTTCACGTCAGACCGACGGGATGGTACAGCCTGATGAGTGACGACTGAGTGTCTGCTGACTCACAGAAACCTTTGAGATGTTGACGTGCACATGAATAACTGAAGCTCTGCTGTCACTGTGGTGCTGTGGCTTTTAAGTGTCCATTTGGTGTTGATCTGTTTTCCAGCTCAAACTGGATGAAAGGCGAACATCTGTCGTCATGCTCACTTGGTTTTATAATTATTCGAAAGCAAGAGTTAAAGAGGACATATGATGCTTTTCCCTATTTTCTAGCATATAAAGTCTTACAGTGTTGTATGTTCATATAGACTATTATTATTATAAGTAACTACCGTCAATAATTTAGCCAATCAAAAATACGTTAACAAAAGAAGAAGGTTGTGCATGTCAGTTAATGTACCATAGACCAGCCGTAGTACCTGTTTGTTCCACCAGGTGGAGCAACAGAAATAACGCACAAATCAAATCTAAACACCGAAGACGGAAGTTTGCAAAGAATTTTAAAATGTTTTATGTAGATGCCTGAATAAAAATCCTTCCATCGGATGGGTCGACTAAGAAATCAAAATAACTGGTTAGCGATGAAGATGTCCCGATCACGCTTTTCTTGCCCTCATCAGTCATTTAATATTTACTATCTGCTGGTACGAGTCCCAATTTGATACCATTTTCCTCGATAATACACACTTGAAGGTAAAGTTGGTGCCGGCAGACCAGCTGTAGTACCTGGTTGTTCCACCAGGTGAAGCTGCTTCCTGTTTAGTGCCATAGAGACCAGAGGAGGCGTCACTCAGACTACAGAGAATGTTTGAACATTGTGGGAGTTTAGCAGCAACAGGACCACGACAGAGGCTCTAATGACATCCAACCAAAGCTCCAACTAGGATCCTGTACCAGCAGCGACGTCACTGCTCACGCTAATGTCAGTTTACCAAAGCAGAAACATCACCACAGGATAAATATCCGCTGCACTGAATTCATGTTGTTGATTGATTAAGCTGCCAATTATGTAAAACTGACATCCTGAACATCCTGCCATAAATTGGGCTCTCCCTTTAAAACACAGCAAATGTAAACAAAGGATCAGGACTTGATTGGTGCTGATGCCAATCAGTTAAAATACCTACATCGATCCTGATCACTGAGCTCAGGTTGAAACATCTCTCATTTATTTGGTCATTATTCTGTGTAATTCTGAAGCTATTCACACTGGAGTTTGCTCAGAGCTTAAATATCTGAAATATATCTCATATGATGAACTTCTACTGCTGATATTTCACGTCCACACCAGTTATCTGTGCGTGCCGTCGTACAGCCAGTATTCTTTCCTGTGGTGGTTTCAACCGATCACAGAGAAAGTCAAACAGAGTCTCACTCTCGCTAACCCCGAGGCATCACTTGCATATTCACAGTTAGTTTCTCTCACAGATTCAAAGTGAGAAAGAACATCAGACGTCTCTTGTGCAGACTCTGATTCACAGGATCTCAGCGGCGTCTGTCTTTCTCAGAAATTCAAAGGCTTTAAAGCCGCCTTAGACAGAAATAATAAGTGTCATGTGTAATGGTCTGTTTAATGACTGTGAAACGTAAAATATCAACTCAAAGTGAGAATAATAAATAGTTTTGATTTGTGAGCGTGCAGTAATTTCAGGTTGTTGACATGAGGACAGCTGGAGGTCCGTCAGGTCTGATCAGCAGCTCTGTTTGAGAACGAGAGACAAACTGTGTTTAAGTGAAACTGCTGCTCAGTTTATGTAGTAAAGAATTATATTTCTGCTCTTGAATTATCTTGATGTGCTTCAGTTTCAGCTGTATTTCAGCAGCGTGTTCTGGCAGAATCACTTCACAGTTTAGGCTGAAGTGTTGCTACTGTGCAGCTGAAAGCGTTCAGCCATCTGGACTTCAGACGAAACTCTGATGTTATTTATTTAACAATCCACACTGACATGTTGATTATGTGAAAGCAAATCACGACCTACTCTGAACCATCCAGGACAACGCCTGGGAA